ATATATATATATTTAAAATATCTATATATAAATTTTTTTAAATATAACTTAATAATTTATATACTCAGATATAATATTTATTTTTACATATAATTTATTATAAACTTTAATTATATATAATAAATATTTAACTTGTAGAGTTCACATACTAAAATATACATCTTAAACCAATATTTACACAAAACATGTATTATTATATAGTATATATATATAATTAAATAATCTAACATGTCGTTGAGAACATTGAGAGGAAGGAAATTAATTCAATTCATTTAAATAAGATTTTAAGTTTAAATGATGTAGATGCAAAACATATTTAGGAAATGAGATCATATTATATTAAATCTTGTTAGATAGATTTTCCTAGTAGAAATAATCATTACAAAATCACCAATAATCCAATTAAAAATATATAATCAGATAAAAATATGTTATATAATAATTAATTTATGATTGAGGCATCCGAATATGTTATAATTAAATTAAAACAAGAAATGTGAATTTAGCATATTTTGAATTATTGTAAAGGTGTGCATTGCTTTTGGAAGGTTCGAAACAATGCAGCGGGTGAGAAGCAGGGTGCGATGGTTATTTGTTCCAAAACGCGCAAATAAATCGGGTACCCTCGCGAGTATAAAAACCCCTCTTCCCTTCTATTTGCGTTTTTGTAAAGCATTCTTCACCTCTCTCTCTCTCTCTCTCTCTCTCTCTCTCTTCTTCTCTTTCTCTCTCCACGCTTTCTGGTTCGAGATCCCTCAAGGTAACTTCAAATCCATTCAGCCTCAAGTGTTTTCATTTCCCCAATCTTTTCTATTGCATGCCACTTTTCAGAACTGTTCGACTCCTTCGATCTGAGGGTTTCGGGATCCAGATCCTTTGTTTTTGTCATTTCCTTTTCTTGCTGTGCGATCCGTTTCGGTTCTCGTGCGACGATTTCGCGGTGCGGCGGATCGAAATGCGTGCCTGTGTTTTCGTCGCTCGGCTTGAGATCTGGCGGAGTCCGGTGTCGTTGGTTTGATTGTCTATTGATGCATTTAATTAGGTTTTGCTGGAAGAGATTGGGTTTCGTTTGATTTGATTTTGTCATTTTTTTTTGGTGAATGAGATGATTTGGTTGAGGTTCTGCTTAGGGAGCGAGTAGTGTTGTTGTTGTTGATGTTGGGTGCAATTTGTGAATGTAGGGATCGACTAGCTGAAGGAGAAATGGGGTTGACGTTCACTAAGCTTTTCAGTCGGCTTTTTGCCAAGAAGGAAATGCGAATTCTGATGGTTGGTCTTGATGCCGCTGGTAAGACCACCATCCTGTACAAGCTCAAACTTGGAGAGATCGTTACCACAATTCCCACCATTGGTAAGCTTCTCGATTTTGATTTTGTTCATGTTTATAATATAATGTTCTGTGTGTGTGTGTGTGTGTATAATTATTCACTTATAGAATGTTAATGAGCATATATTTTCAGTGTTGATTCTTGTAACAACTTGCGGAACTAGGTTTGGTAAATAACTGATTTCAGAGGATTTTATTCGCTAGTAAGCTTTTGAGATCAGTCATACATTATTGAATCTGTAACAAAACTCGATAATTGAAGACTCAGATCTTAAATGTTGTTGGTTAGATATAAGAGACTACTTAAGATGTGATGCTTCATATGAAATCCTGGTAATCTGTTATAAGAATTATTCCTCACCACTTCATGTCACTCTGACTCTGATAAGAACCCAGAGTAGAACTTAGAGAAAAAGTAAGGTTTTGTTTCTTGATTGAAAATAAATAGGGCAGTGAGAAAGATCTCTCCTCTGAGGACGCCCCCTTACCAAGGGTTTCCACTTTCTATGGCAGAGCTGATTCTCAGTTCTCAAATGATACAGAACAGATTTTATCCTTGCTTGCCATCCTCCCTATTTAGGCAGGGCTGATGTCTGTCCGTCCTCTCCAATTGACTAACTAATTGTTCCGACTAACTATTGATACTACTATTAACTAACTAAACTGTTAATATCTGGAAACCCCTAAAGTACTAGCACAGGTTTTTTCTGCATAAATCTAAAATAAATTATGGGATTCGTATTGGATGAAATTGTAGACCATATATGGATGCTCATACAGAAGATTTTACGTTTCATTATTTTTTATCTTAATTGTTTTAGGGTTCAATGTGGAGACTGTGGAATACAAGAATATTAGCTTCACTGTTTGGGATGTTGGTGGTCAGGACAAGGTGTGAAGTTTGGTCCTTGTGCATTCTTAAGAATTTCTTGATAGAGCCTTCCTTGTGCCGAGTTATATGTGTTGAAGGTTAGTGGCTGAATACACTTTTTTTCTTTTGCAGATTCGTCCTTTGTGGAGGCACTATTTCCAGAACACACAGGGTCTTATATTTGTTGTAGACAGCAATGACAGGGACAGAGTTGTTGAGGCCAGAGATGAGTTGCACAGGATGTTGAATGAGGTATTAGGCAATTAGGCAATTAGGCTTGCTTTAGGGTCATGATATTTGATATCTAAAATTTTCTTTCCAATCATCCAAAAAGGAATTTTTTTCACTCGCATATATAAGGTGTAGGATCGCAGAATTAGATAACAGTATTAGTTTTAAATATCATATTAAATTCAAAAAATGATTTTCTATTTGACTATTTAAATAAATACATTTCATTGCTCATTGGAAGTTTTGGAAGGAAAGAACTGTTTAGGCTGAAAGCAGTCAGCAATTTTCTGTATCTGCTATTGGTATTACTATGCTACTGCTGCTGATACTATGCTGTTAATGATGATAGATCAATTTTTCAAATGATGTTCAGCTGCTCAAAATGTTTTCCTATTTATGAAGAGGGACTCATAACAAAAAACATTTCTATTTAAAATTACTTTGTCAATTGACCTTTTTCTGGGATTGTAATATCTGTAATAACTTTCGTGGTATATTTTGTAAGTTTATTTTCCAGTTCATACTTCATACTAAAGCTCCCTTGAAAGTTAAGTTCTTATTGTTTGACCTTTTTTTTCACCTTAATGTTAATAATGACATCATAACCTGAATCGTTGACAGCTTATGGCTTTACTTTTGCTTTCTATTATATTCTTGTAATGAAATAACAATTTCTTAAACTGTATATTTTAATTATATTTACAGGATGAACTGAGAGATGCAGTATTGCTTGTATTTGCTAACAAACAAGATCTTCCCAATGCAATGAATGCTGCTGAAATTACTGACAAGCTGGGTCTCCACTCTCTCAGACAGCGCCACTGGTAAATATATTGATCGTGTTGCCCTTGTTCAGAATTGATAGCGATCCTTTTGAAATGTAAAATGCTTGTGCGTTTCTTTCAGGTACATCCAGAGCACCTGTGCAACCTCTGGGGAGGGTCTTTATGAGGGTTTGGACTGGCTTTCCAACAACATAGCTAACAAGGTAGCTATTGATTTCTTTCTCGCATTTTTCCTTCGGTAATAGAAAATATTTGATTAAAAATTCACATTACGGGGAGAATGTGAACTGGCCATTGTACAATACAAGCTGCTTGAATTTATGTATTTATCTCGGTGTTCATAACTTCAAAAAAAAAATTCTATATCATCATGGCATTATTTTATTTACCTATTTGTTGCCCTTCCGAGTTTTACCAATTGAAAAAAAGGTGGAAGTTTTGTGGAATTGTGCTGACTTTTTTCTTATGATTATCTATAATTGCAGGCTTAGTGATTTTTGGGAGTCTTCTTGTGGATTGGTAATTCTGGATGCAGGGGTGAATATTATCTAGTTTGTTTTTTGGTCCTCTTATGAGACAAATTGGCTTTATGTTAAATGTTTTCTGTTTTAGGACATCTTGATGGCTAAAATTATAGTAGGAATTGTTTCATGGGATGTCTAATACTTTTGAGCTATTTTATTGAGTTTGGATTCAATGTTTATAACTGTAATGCATACCAATCAATGTGCCATCCCATTGAGTTTTTATATTTTTATTTTGCTGATATTCCTCTCATAATTATTATAGCGTGTTACAAAAAATAAAAACGATGAAAACTTCTCATCAATCAACTGTCACATCTAGTAGAAAATAAAAGTAAAATATTTTTTTTAATGAATTTCATGTTAGTTTTTATTTTTTATTTTTGAATTTATACATAAGCTAGTTTTTTATTTATGGGAAAATTTGTTTTTATTTTTTATTTTTTTATCTTGAAGGTATTTACGGGAAAATTCATATTTTTTTTTCTATAAGTCTTTTGCAGAATAGGTTTTTTTTTTTTTTTTTTTTTAAGAATAGGGAAAAGTTTACGCACAAACCTATATGTTTAAATATTTGTAGTATTGGATGATGCCGTCATATGATTTGCATCTAGGCAATGCATCCTTTGCTGCTCCACTGGTTGATATTACAGCGTCGTCTAATCCCTTGAAATAGTAAAAAGAGTGCAGAGTGCTGTTTCCCGTTGTTGCACGAACCAGATTTTCACCCATGGCCTAGACTTGTTAGCTAGCTTTAATGTCTATTTCACGCTTTAGGGAAAGGCCTTAATAAATAGTTTCATACTTTGACATTAATAGAATTGTCCATTTTACAACTTAGATTTTAATAATGGCTGTATCTTTCTCGTCAATAAGTCTAACATAATTACTTGAGACAGTGCTTACACTCGAAATCAAATGTGCTTGATGTTGTTCACTTTAAAATAATATATCACTCATGCATGTAAAATAATGTACTACGGTGTAGATGTTATTTGGTGGGTGTTTTTAATTGTTATCATCTATTCATTTCATGTGGTATACATAGTGGAATGTGTCATGTTACATGTTATTTAACTTCTTAAAGATCAGTGATTGCTTGAAGAATGTATTATTTATCCACTTACTATTTCAAAAAAAGTATTCATCTTTATTTACTTATAATTTTAACTTAATCTAAAATAATTTTAAGATAAATAAAAATACTTATTTTGTAATATTAAACATAGTTAAAGATTATTTCATCAATTATTATTCAATTTTGTCCATCTAGTAATTTTTAATTTCGATTTAATCGTATTATTTTTAAATAATTTAATTTCATTTTTTAATTTTAAAAAGTTGTTCAATATTATCTTTTCATGTGATTTCATTAACATTATTAGTGAAAGGAAAAACAACGCTAAGAAAGAAGATATTATTTTGTTGTTGTTCATAACAAAAAAACAGAATTGACAAAATATAATTTTTTTATATTTAAATTAGCAGTGAGAAGAAAAAAAAAAACACACTGAACCAACTGTTGAGTTTATTTAAACATCATGGTATCAGAGCCTGGTTAACCATGTGCTTGGGACTGGATTTGAACTCAAGACCACTTGATGAAGCAGGACCTGGTACCACGAGTGGAACCACTCAACCAGAGTTCAGTTTGCTATCCACTACCATTTCAAATAAATTTATTTCTAATAAGTTTAATGCCACGTGGTTGCAATTACTAAAAATTGCCTTTACAAAAAAAAATAAAGTTAAGTAAGTTCGAAACTCAAGGAGTGAATAATCAACCAAAGAATAATATGTATAAATATGATAAATCATGATAATAATATTTGACTCCAAAGATGAAAACGCAGTTCAAGGGAGTAGGGTGAGTCAGCAATCCAAGTGATTCCTAACGTGGCACGAGGCTACGAGCATATCTTTATCTAAATTCAACTTTTTAAATTATGTGAAAAAAGACACTCAAAATACAATACAAGAATATATTTTAAATTTTGAATACTCAAGTACCATATAAATTTTTGTTTTGCTAGCCAAGACCTGCGTAATTATAGTTGTCAATGATACAAATGCATGTTAGAATTGCAAGTTGCAGAGGCAATAGATTACTTTAATGCGCAAGGGACCAACCCATAACATATTTCTATACAGAGTCACAAGCAATACAGAGAGGGAAAAAAATTGCAGTCAACTGTGTGCCGTACCAATTGCATTCATACACTGTATATGGTGGGACCATCGGATTTTAATAAAATATGTGTTCATCAATGGTTTTTTTTTTTATATAATTAGAATAGTTTTTTTATTCGGACATTTTCATAATTGGGATGCAATGGAATTGAATCCAAATGAGCACCTGTGCCACATGTTAATCATTCAGTCACTGCCTTCATTGGGTAATATGATTATGAGGTGGAATCCACGCGAGAATGCATAGAAATTACTAAAATTAGGACAAACGATTAACAAATTAAATTTTGCTTTCATTTTTTACTCAATTCAATGCTATGAATATGCCACATATGACAAATCAACATATAGTGAAATAAAATAAAAGTTTTTGTAGTCCAACCACCGTCCGTTTCATTTAATTAATCACTGTGATATCGGAATCCAGGAATGATTGGTGCTTTGATATCAAAAAACCCACTTCCATGAACTCTGCTAAACTGAATAATGAATATTCAATTCGAATTGTCCACATAAAACGTCGGAAAGGTAGAGTCATAAAAGATATAATAACGTAGGGTTTGCTATCTTCCATGTGCAGTGCATTAAATTAAATATATACTTTTTAACAACGAGTGCCATCATTCAATATTTTAATCTTAAAAAAAGTAAATGATAAATAAATTATAATTTAAATAATATTTTTTACTTAATAACTTTTTCTAGTTTTTAACTACTTATGATAAAAGAAGAATGTTAAGAATATATATATATATATATATATATATATATATATATATATATATATATATTATAGATTATGCTGGGTCATGCTTGACACTTGATTTTGGACCTTCTAATTTTTTCCAATTGTAAATAAAATTAACATTTTTTTAATGATGTGATTGTCAATAAAAGAAGTTCTTTTTATGTTGTTGAGTTTAATTACTTAGCCCAAATTTTTGGACATCCAGTCAAAACTCAAACTTAATAAAATTAACAAGTTTTCTTTCTCATTTATGATGTGAGTTTTTTTTTTATTTTTATTTTTTTATTTTTTATAATTTATTTGTTTGTCCTAAGTGAGTTTATAAATGATTGTAAATTGTCACCATAAATTTATCCTTTCATCTCATTTTAAATATAAATTCAAAGTTAGATGTTTATTTATTGTTATGTTGCATTTTTAAAAATAAATAATTAATAAAATCATCAAAAAAAATTGACAGTTTGAAATTGTGGTAATCTACAAATTAATTACATAGGCATAATTAAAAATAAAAATAAGGATCTAATTATAATTTTTTAAAATTTAAGAAACTAACTAGAAATTTCTAAGAAAAACAAATGAATTAAACCTATATTTAATAACAAATGTTGCCATTGCATTGCATAACTAGGATACAAGGAAATGGAAGTCTTGTAGGCAAGCGTATGTTCAATTAGGGATGGAAAAAAAATATTATTAATGGGATAGAAATAGATTACAGATATTTACACTTTAAAAATATTATTAGTTATTTATAAAATAATTTGATTTAACTAACTTTTATTATAAATACATATCATAGTTGTTTATTTTAATACAAATCTATATTAAAAAATATTCTTAAAATAAATATTTTTTTCAAAATTATTTATTTTATTTTTTATTTTTTTTAACTATTTAAAACTTTACATTTGAACAAATATGTACAAATCTTAAAAATAATGACTGATATATAAAAATATATATATAAATATCCTCACATTAAACACCATAAGGAGATATTACTGCTTTTTCCTGATTGAAATCCCTATGTTGAACCATGGTTGGCCATAGTCAGTACTAGTGTGCTTGTTTGGCACTTGAACCATGTGAAGCTAGCCTGACATATTTGAAAGTTGCATTGCATTGCATGCACACTTTGGAACTCTACACTCATTGACAAATGCAACCAAGGAATAGTGCATTCAGCCATTCAGATGTCTTCCATGGCTGATGGTATATGACCCCTACTCACTGCATTTATTATTTATTTAAGTAACTTATCTACTTTCTATGTGTTTATATATCCCATGGAGTGCATTTTAAAATATTAAACAGAAAAGTATGAATCTTGATACATTAAAATAAATTTACGCTTGTCTGTTGCAAACAAAAAAACAAACACATACTCTATCTCTTTAAATGAATCTATGTATATTACTAATTTAATTTCAAGTAATTTATTTAATTTTCACTCTAATATAATTAAGTTCTTATAACAAATTGTTACTCACAAATATATATATATATATATATATATATTTTAATATCTCATATTCTATCTTTAAAAAAAAAAGTATTATGTGGTCTTAAACTATCAAGTGTTAATTATTACATGATATGTATTTAAGTTTTTTAGTTTAGAAAAAATTTAATTACATATCATGTAAATACTAGTTAAAAACTATGTGATTGAGACCATCTAATAAGTTTCCCTCTTGTACATACATACATAAATCTTAAGCAACTTGCAAGGAATAATTATGTATATAAATAACTCTTTTTAATTTAAAGTAACACAAAATCATGTGACGTACCAAAATAATGTTAAGTAACTCATAAACTTTTTTCGTTGAAGATGCTCTCGGAACCACCTTGTTCATAATAAATGTCCCATGTTTGAAGAAAATACAAATTTTAAAATAAGTGTCATGTTAGCTTTCTAATGTAGTATTAATTACTTTGTTTTTATTTATACTCCTCGTAATATCCTTTAGCAAGTGGTTATTGACTTATTGTGTTGCATTGTTTCTAGGAAAAAAGATTAATCATAAGATTAAAATTACCATCCTTTTTCATTTATGTATTAGTTTCTAGGTTAGTGTAAAGTAACTTATATATATGGAAAGAAGAGTGTAACACCCTTTACCCCTCATGCATCGTACCAATAATATAACACTAAGTTTTTTGAATAAAATAAAACTTAAGGTAGAAATATCATATTAAATTCGAATCTCCAAAATAACAAAACTAAATCAAAAAACGATCACAATGAATATTAAGCTAATGTTAAAATAACTCTAAGGAAAGAATTTA